AACAAAAAAAAACAGAATCTTATTAACTCACAAGGGTGTCAGAAATTAGTCAGTACAATGCTGAATTTATGTCCCCAGGATTAGCCCTTGTCCCACAGTAAGATTTTTCTAAATATCCTCTGTCCTGTTAAGTGTTCTCATGGAAATGTCATTTTCACCACTCCTGCAAGTTACCAAGGCACAGTTTTGTGAAGATATTACTCCTACTTTGCAGTAGAAAAAGCCTGCTCATCAAAGCTACTCCTTTCAGATCTGAAGAGTACCAAGTAACATTTGGTACTCAATAAATAATTAAATTTCTGCATATCAGTGTGAGGTTGCATTTGAAGTACTGAGCTGAAGTGCTGAACATCTCCTTGTCTTACACAACAAACTTGCTTGGCATTGCATTCAAAAACCAAAGATATCCTAAGATATATTTTATTTAGTTTAATTTCTTAATTTTTACTGAAAAAAAAAAAAAATTGAGAGAGAGAAAAAAAATCTTATGCCTAAGGGTAAAAGCCAGTTTCTAATTGCTGGGATTTATTTTCAGAGATCATATTATCTGAAAACCTACTTTTTGCTATTGGAATCGCTTGTCTTTTGGGTAATCTTTCTCAGTCAGTGTAGTGTAGATATTTTACTACCACTCACATTTACAGAGACTAGACTACTTTTTCAATGATTTGGTTAAGTCTTTGACGAAACTATACAGAAATTTAAGATATGGCACTTTTCTCAGGTCTGGTCCACCAATGTCCTCTAATTAACTTACATACCACCTTATGAAATTGATCCTTTCCAAGACCCTTTCAAAGGATATGAGTGTGGAGGTGACGTAACCACATCTGGGTTTCAGCCTAAAGTCACTTCAGAATCACCAGGATGCCAGCACCACGCTCTACAGTGAAGACATACTCTAAAAATTTCCATATCTGAAAAGTATCAGCACTTGTTTGTAGAGGAGCCCACAACTTCAGTGGAGGTGAAATGAAAAGCAAGGATTTACAAATGAAGAAATGTAAAACTGATGTCTAAAGTATTGTAATGGATTATTATTGGCGTCATTAAGAGCGATTCTGTTCTTATTCCTCGATAGAATCTATTAATTTGGTCTATGAAAAGTCCTTTCATAGAAGTTGGAGGCAGAAAGGAAAAGATGTAATAATCCCTGAAATCTAAGCAGTCGTGTTGGTGTTTTCTGCTAGTATAAGGAAATCCCAGCACAGACATGATTTCTCCCAGCCCAAGAATGAAACAGCCTGCAGATCCTTACCCACAGATGCTAAAATAATAAATGAATAGAAAAACAAAGTCTGAAAAATAAACTCAGAACTTTTCAAAGCCTTCAACAGAATTTCGTTACACTGGCTCTTACATTACATTTGCTCTTTAGTCACACTGTGTCCTGATGCATAGTTTTCTCTCTTTTTTCCAAGTACACAGTCACAGAACTGATTCTAAGGAAAGAAATCTGTTTATGTCTCCTCCATTCTTCAGGTGAAATGCAAAATTATTATAATCTTAACTTTTTTTAATGGCAAATGAAAATAAAACTTTAAGGGTTGGTTGGTTTTTGTTGTTGTTGTTAGCTTGTTTTTAATATTTTCTTTGCATATTAAATAATTTATAGCTATCCTCTGTTTTAACAGCAAAGAGGGAAAAGTATCTTGACTTTTTTGAAATACAAGACATTCTGAGGTAAATCATAACCTTTACATATTCTGAATCTTGAAAACCTTTTTTTATGCTGAACCCTTCGCCTTTCCAGTCTGATTACACTAAGAACCCTTCACAGGTTAAATGCATGTTCCACAGTTGGAGGGTTTATTAAAGCTTGTTACTTTTGTCGTAATTACGTGGATGTTTAGCACTGAATGAATGGCCATGGAGTAGTTACTACGAGGGCAGTCTAAGAGTAGCGTGCTTTTTCTGATGGTTCTTTTGCTCTTGAGTGGATGGCAAAACTTGAGAGATTCATAGCAATCTCTCTGAGATCTGTTCTGCAGACTTGCAGGGCAGTGAAATATATAGTGATGGCTAGGGAATGGAGCATTTTCTTTATCTATGTCACAAGCATCCTAACCAAAGGTTCTTCAGAACAAAGTTGCCAAGGAAATTTCACCTCTTTCTTTTCTTCTGATGGCTACTTTTTGGAATTCAACTTATTGTGAGCATTTAGGATCTCCAAATTCCTTCTCTTAGACTTTTTCTTCTTCTGTTTCTTGGGTACAAAGTGCCTCTTCTGGTTATCAGGTCTAAAAGTAACTGTTTTCTCTCTAAACTCTACATTCTTTGACATCTAACACCTCCATACCAACTTTATCTCATTTTCTTTTCTGTGAAATTTCCACACATTCTTCTTTCTTTTCTCCTTTTCTCTTGCTACCCCAAATAAATTTGTATGATCCAGTTTGATTTCTTTTGTATTTTTCAGAGAATTTATCTACTCTGTAAGCCCTTCTGCTTTTTCCTCTGCCCTAGGAATTGACTTTCATTTAATACACATTTGTCCTGTGTGAGCTTCATGCCTGTTTGGGAACATGGCACATACTGCCCTGTGGATTGACTTAAAACCTTTGGTAGCCAGTCTGCAAAGCTCCAGTTGTTCCTTCTTTCAGTAAGGCTATAATTTGTAAATGAAAAGACTCCTCTGCACTGAGCACATCTCATTTTACTGTCTCCAATTCACTCTCAGGTTCACTAAGCTTCTTCCTCAGTTATTTATACAATCTGCACTACCTCTGAAGATCTACTATAACTGCATCCACCTTTGTGTTCACTCAAAATATTTCTCTTTTACAGAATTGTTGTCTTAGAGATATATTTTTCTCTCTAGTTCAGGTTAAAGGACAAGCAATAAACAATCCATTTAGTCTGTCATGCAGAGTTAAAATTAACAGACTTCTCCTTCAGAATTTTCTTAGATACCAGTGATGTAACTTAGAGTAGACAGGAACGGAATATCACAAGCAAGCATTTGAGAAATGATCTGCTGCACGCATTTTGCACAAATTTTATTCAAGCATTTGAATAGATATTTCAATGCACAGCACAGGAATTTGCACAATTAGGGCATAAGTCATCAGTGGGAAGAGAGCCAGTATAAGATCTCTGCAAAGCACACATCCCATGTAGGTGTTCAGAGCTGACCAAGTCTTATCCTAGTATCCTGTCAGGGGATTAGTTAAATCCTCAAGGAATAAACTGTTTATCCAAGTAATTTTTTATCCAATTTCCAGGTATGGTATTTAAGACGCTCACAGTACTGCACTGGGCTCTAGCGTTGGGATTGCTTCCACTTGACTTCATGTCTACACCCCTGCAAGTCATTTTTATTGCGAATGGAAAGAAAAAGGCCCTTTCAATACATGAACAGTGAACCCAACCAAATTTTACCCAAGTGGTCAACAATGTTGGTGCTTGCTTTGTCAAGCTGAGGAACAAGTCAAGTATTACAGATGTGGAGTATCAGAGAAAGAGATGAAGTTAGGATTGAGAAGATGGCCACCAGTTGGTTTCTCACTGCTCCTTAATTATAGTGTTGTTTGGCTTAAACTGTTTGGCCTTCACATTTTGGTCTTACTCCCCAAATCGCTAAAGGTTACTGTGTTATTCTATAGAATTTTTTAGCTCATCCTACATGTATATATATGAATAAATGGTGAGCACCTCTCCTGCATAGCACTGTTTGCTTGAGCATAGTCCTGCGGTTTTACGCCACTACTCCACTGCTCCCACAGCTGCTTTGCACTGTACCCCACCGCTGCCACAGTAACCTTCATGTGCATGGCCCTTTGCACAGCAGCTGTCAGAGAAAGCTGAGCACACAATCACTTCTTTCTGTTTGCTCCTGTTGTTGTCGTGATTTATTAGGTACAAAGGCAGGAGACTGGCCCCGCACAAGTCGGAAATAGAGTGTTTCACCCCAAAAGGGAGTATGGGGAATGGTGGGAGAGCTACAATGACCAGGTAAGCTAACAGCAAGTGGCCTTAGGTCAGTGTGATATGTTTGTGAACAGGGGGAGCAGCCCTGGGACAGTGCCAGCCCAGATCCTCTCTGTAATTCCTGTGCATCCCATATAGTATGTCTAGAAAAAATACACATCTCTAAAATAAAACACATGGCCACTGCTGATTTCTGTGTTTCATCTAACTGGAAAAAAAAAAAAAAGAAAAAAAAAAAAAAACAGAAAACCTGCACTGTGTTCATTTGAGTGATGCAAACCACATGTCCTGTGTGATGTTGTCATAATATGGTGCTTTGGGAAGGAGAAACTTTACACCTGACATTAACCCAGTAGGGCAGGGAAAGAGAGACAGCACTTAAACACTGAGTGAGAAGCTCCATAGCTCCTTGGGAATAGAGGCTGCATTTTGTGTCTAATCAAAAGACTGCATAAAAATAGAAAAAAAAAAAAAAAAAAAATGAAAGCATTCTAATATGAAAACGTTGGTTCTTCTCAGTCAAAATGTCTTGTAGGAAAGTATTAAGTTTCACAGTGGTTTTAAGGAAAGGTTTCAAAATCATTTTAAATAGAGCTCAGAACATCTTTTAGAACTTTCTCCATTGCATCTAATTTAGATATTTCTTTTTGTTTCAGACATTATATAATGCACAACATTATGTATCAATGTTATGATTTTAATTAGTATTATGAACTATATTTCTAACTGTTCCTGGGATTAACTGTCTTAATAAGGACACTTTTTTAGGTTTTTGCAATGAAATATTTCAAACGGTTCACTTTAATTCTGTGAAATGTTTGAATATTTGAATTGTTCATCTCATTTTGAATCCAATCAGATTTCCAAATGCTGGATTCTCCCATAGGACAGAAAATCCAATGTACCACAGTTGATTAAAAATCTAAGGGTATAATTACTCTTAAAAAGCATTTTACGACTGTGTTGCACTCTACAGCAAGTTAGAAACATTTGCTTTACTATTTATTAAAAGATCCTTATCATCCCCTGTAAGGTTTTTGTAAATGCAGCCATAGAGCACAACAAGACCAAATTACACCTTTACTTTTCCCCGAGTGTTGCATCACAGGTGGATTTTATCACTGCAGGAGGATGTTCAGTGAAATACTCGCACCGTGTTATGTCCCCTTTGGGTACTGAAATCCACTCATCTACACAAGGCTCTCAGCTATAATGCTGCTGAGCACACACCTGGGGGACTCTGCCACTTAGGTAACATCAGGAATGCTTGCTGCTGAGTGGTGCACCAAATGTATACACACCTGTTACTTCTTTGTCAGCCGGGATTCTGTTTCTTGTCTGTGTGATGTCCAAATTTTTATCTTTTTCCTACATTCCATTGCATTTGGTGATAATTATTCTTCCTTTTCAAGCTATCTGGAGTTGCTATATAAGAGAATTATGAAGAGCAGAAACGTACATGTAAATGTCAAACAGCTGTATGTCGTTGTACAGTATTCAGCTCTGTTTGCCCAGCCATTTATATCCACTTGAAAAACTTCTTTTTTATATTTTGTATCTTCACAGTGAAGAATCTGTTTGCATTCCAGAATGTAATCGATCTGAGTCAAGTAGAGATGAGAAAGAGGTTCCTGTTAAAGAGGATGCCCTAACAGGCAAAAAGACTGGAAACTGTGTCAGTCTAATAGTGCCACAGCAAGACTGTCAGCTGCAAGACCTACTCAAACAGTTAAGAACACCAGCTGCTTCACAGAGAGTGCAATTGCATTTGATGGCTGTCTTGTTGTCTCCAGCCACAGTGTCCTGGCCAGTGGTCCTGTCCTATTTTGTGAGCTAAGCAGATTTGTCACTGCATAGCCTGGGAGCTTCCCAGGGAGCAGAGATGTTGCAGGAAGGGAAGTAGGTGCCATTTTTCTGTCTGTGTCTGTAAGTACCAGGCCAGTGCTGGGCGTCACTGTGATGGAGTGCTGATGGGAAAAGACAGATTCAGCCACCTGACCACCTATTTGAATTCCCTTCTGACCCAACCCATTCCGTGATATGGAAAATGAAAAGATTGTGTAATCTTTTCTCCCTTGTACTGTAAAGCTAATAAAGAAGTCCCATGACACTGAGCGAATCCCAGTTACATCCTTTTAGCCTAAAGAGGGCTGTACAGCTTCAACTGGATAGGATTTTTCAGCTCATGTGCTCAATCCCCAATGTAATATTATTTTGATGTTCCAACCTTAGTGTGGATATTTTTCACGTTGCGGTCTAATGATCCCTATATAGATGTCTTACAAATAGCTAGGAATTTAAGATGAAAAGTAACAAAACACAATTAATGGGTACCCAGTGTGATGCTTTGAAAAGCAGTTTCTGATTAAGAGAAGTTACTGCATCCTACATCACTGTTTTTTCCCACTTCAGTTTTAGGAGATTGTCACAGAATCCCAGAAGTATTTCCTTCAGATACCAACACTTCAATTTCCCCCATTCTATCCAGGCACTGCTGAAAGCTCTCAGTGTTGGTGTCACTGGTGGCCGTGCTAGGAGGTTGTTGGCAAAGTTTCTGTCTGTCGGCAGTCCCTTTCATCCTCATAGATTAAAGTCATTCTTGCAAATGCCAGCTGTGATTTCCATAGGGTGAGGAGGTGATGACTGATTACACTCCAGGGAGTAATATTAGTAAATGCCCTTGCTGTTGTTAATAGAAAAGCAATTGCTTTTGTTTGCAATGTAATTGCAAAAGATGTTTACTTATGGAACTCAGATCAGGACAAAATGAGTTTTTACCCTGAATCATTCCTCCTTTGTGTTTTACTGTTATTTATCTCCAGAGAACAAATAGTATGGGAATAACTTAAGCTAAACGATCCAAGTAATATTTCTGCATGGCAAAACCGTCTTACACCCAGGGAAACAATTGTATAGGCATGTAGAGATTTCCTCTAAAGCTATTTATAATAAGAAAGGAAACACTATAAATCGCTATTGTGTTAGAACAGAACTAGTTTATCTACCTTTCTACATTTCTGCACTCAGTTTCAGCCATTTATCCTCCTTTCTTTGGGAGTTGGACTAGATGCCCTTTAAAGGTCCTTCCAACTAAAACCACTCTGGCTCAAGGACAGGTTGGATGGGCCCCGGGCAGCCTGAGCTGGTGGGCAGCAATCAGCCTATGGCAGCGGCTTTAAGATCCCTTCCCATCCAAACCATTCTAAGATTTCAGTAAATCCTTCTTAGACAGAGTAATTGTATCATTGAGTCCTTAATAAGGTTTCATCAGAGAACTCGAGAAGGACTATGCCTTCTTCTTACTGCAAGTATTTATTTCCAATAACAAGACTTCTCCTTGCCAGAAAGCTGCACGGACTAAGTACAGTAGTTTATCCTCCTTATCTCTGCCAGATGCTTCTGCAGAAAAGGCATAGAATAATGTAGTCCTTAATAAACCATCTTGCTCTGCACCATGTTGAAGTTATACCTTTTCTACCTCAGCTTCATAAAAAACAAGACATTGCTTCAAGTTGGAATGCAACACTTTACTTAAGCCATTGAAATATAAGCACAACTTTGCTAGCAAATTTAGCTCAAAAAATTAGACCAATGAATGTTCTGAAACATGAACTTTCACCTTTGGACTTATAAGGAAAATAATTTTAACTAATTATTTATCATATTCATGTCAGCATAGGTTCCATTCTGGTCGTACAGGTCTCCACAGAGTTTTTGACCAGTATCTTTTGACTAGCTGCACCTATTCAAATCTGGAATCAGATACTAACGTTTCTTATACAACAGAGAATAAATTTTCCCTTATATTTTTGTTTTAAACTCTGTTGACCCCCTTTGTATTCTAGTTTCCACTGATGGAAAATCTGTAGATATGCTTTCTAAGCTCACTCAGACCATACCAAATTCCATAACTGATTTGGCTATTTCATTTAAACTTATTTAAAAGAGAATAAGTGACTTATTTTCAAATTACATACTGTTTCAGTAGTTATCCAAATGCCAGTTACTGGGAACTCTTCATCAGAATTAATCTTAACAGCTTCATGTAATTAATAAGAATGGCAGACTTATTAGAATATCAGGTTTTTCAGCTGCTGTGACTGTCTTTTCTCCTTCTGATTCCCATCCCTGGAGGCATTCAAGGCCAGGCTGGATGTGGCTCTGCGCAGCCTGGTCTGATGGTTGGCAACCCTGCACATAGCAGGGGGGTTGAAACTAGATGGTCATTGGGGTCCTTTTCAACCCAGGCCATTCTGTGATTCTATGATCCCTTTCTTCTGCATTTTGCAGGAGTTAAAAAATGCAGTTGCTGTAATGGCAGCTGGCTAAAGAAACCCTGGTGGCAGAGCTGTGCACAGTCTCACAATCACATCACAGGGCAATAAATCTGAAACAAAATTTAAAAACAGAGGAAAAAAGCAATCTATTCCAGATGGATAGGAAAATAAGAAGAAAAGAAAATAAACAAATATATAAGAGAGGAACATTTTTTTTTATCACCTCAGGGGATAAGAAGCAGTTAATATCCCTTATGAATACACAACAGAGCCCTAAAACATAAATGACTATGAAAGGAAGGGAGGAAATGAGAAAGAGTACTAACTGTTATTCTGTCAGCAGTGTACAACTACAGAGGAAATATTTGGAATATTTGAATGCTCTCATTTATACCACTTTCTTCTACGTGCTATACTGTGGTAGGTCTGGCAAGCTGGAAAAAAAAGCTTAGCTACCAAAATCAAAGCAGCTTTTAGTCAAGAGACAGGAAAAATAATGACTATGTCTAGTTCTGAGGAAATCCCTCTTTTACATAAAACAGCCTAATTAACCCATCGTGAAGGCAATGAAAAAATACACCACACAAAAGATATTACTATATATATATATTGCCAGCGTTTTGGTTTGGAAATTGTATCACCAATTGGAGTTTGCTTATCCCCAGATTTGACTTGACCTCTGCTCTGCTCCAGGGTTGTGCCAACAGGAAGGACAGAGCAGAGAAATACGTCCTGTATTCAGCCAGACTTAGCAGTGGAATTCTTTTGTGAGCATGAGAGTGTAATTCTGCTGTTTTCAGCTGAGGGAAATAAAATCTGTTTACAAGAAACCTCTAAATATTTACTGATATATAATTTCCCATCTCTCAAAGGGACATGGAACAGCTGGTCATAATAAAAGTAAACACTTTGTTGTGATATTCCATTAGCAGGCATCAAAGTCTATGTCCCTAATGTACCTTTATACCTCTGTTTTTAATTCGTGTGTGTTGCAGTGGTTTTCAGTTGAGAGATCATGCAGCTAAAGCAGGATCTCAAAGTACTGCCCCTGAAATTTACCTCTAACCCAGCCAATATATGAAGACAAATGATGCTCCTTTCACACAGCTGATAAATGATCACATGCCTTACTTGGGTGCTGATGTGTAATAAATAGTTTAGCATGATGAATGGGATGATACATTTATAATTCCAATTATTTTTGGGCAAACTGATGGAATTTTAACCACTGGGTTCAGTGTTTCAATTTTTATGGATAAATTTCTGTTTGCTCTCTATTTAGGTTTCCTTTTTTTTTTTTTTTTTTTTTTTTTTTTTTGTGTTCCTTTCACAACCTCTTACAATCTGACTTTCAGGTAACTGAAAATGCTTACAAGCCTTTAGTGCTCATGAGCACACCTGGAGCCATAGGGTTTGAACTTCCTTACTGAGCCACTCTCTGAACTTCGGAGGAGAGCTAGAATATTCTGCTTGTGGGAAGTGGTGCAACGCCAAGTGCAACTTTCTCTGAGCAAGTGTTTCTATCACCACCTTCTGCATGTTAATAGAATTTACTTTGTCCCTATGGCAGACAGGTCTGTCACAAACCCCTCTGAGCTCTGAGATCTGAGCTCAGCAGGAGAAGAGGCCCCACCAAGCAGAACACCCAGGATCAGAACTAGGCTCTCTTCTGCTAGGTCAAGGTAAGAGGGCCAGATGTCCCAGCCTCCTGGTCCAGCTCACTCTCTGCAGGATGTGAAGGGAAGTTCCACCATCATCATGCCAGAAAAAGAGGCAAGACCTCATTTCCCAAAGGAAGCTCAGCTCTAAGCATAGCCAAGGAGCTGTGGCTCTCAAATGGCTCTTGGCATTTACAGAGTACCTGCTAGTAAGAGAAGCACACAGTCCTCAGAGGCATCAGCTTTCCTCTGAAAGACATAAGTCCCAGCTGCCATTCAGCTCAGAATCACATCTACAGGGATGCAAAGAGTTGAAGTGCTCAGTGCTACAGGATAGATTTTACTTTTCCCCCTCGCTCTAATTGAGGTACAGCAAAAGGGGTGTCTCAATAAACAAGCCATCAGCTGTTTTCTGTCTGGCATTTTGGGGGTAGCTCATCTCTCAGTCTAGCCTGTCTTAAAATATCTCTGGTTTACATTGTCTTCATCTGCTGGACTTTGTCATGCTACTTTTGAAGGGAAAAGAGTGTGTTGTGTTACATGATCCATTGTAATTCCATGCAGTGTAAAACAAAAAGATTTTGTTTACTATCAGCACACATCTTTTTTAGATGCCTGGAAGAACTATTAAACTGATAGAATGTGGCAAGCATCCACATGAAGGCTGATATAAAGTCACCTGTGTTGAATAAACTGTGTGTCTTGCAAAACTGTTTTACAGCAGGCTAACATGTATGAGTGTTTCTCTTTCAGGCTGAAAAAGCAAACAAACTGATTTGTGACACTTCATCAACATCTCCAATGTGCTCATATTTCCAAAAAATCTAAAATGGCTGTTGCAAATATTTTAGAAATCAAAGTAAAGTGTTTAAAGTTCTGTTGTGTTGTATATATAAAGCATGTTTATCTGTATGTGGAGGTTATGTTTTTCTTGTAGACATCATTTCAGTGTCATTGCCTATTTCAGCTAAGAAATATTGTTAATGGTCTTTCTTAATCCCACGAACTATAGGTTAATGTATGTACAATCAACAGCTCATCAGCCTAAAGAACACACAAAAAGAAAGGAGCTATTGCATACTGCGCTTTTATAGATGATGCAACTGGCTTTGTTCCATGAGAACTTTCCTTAATCAGTAAGAGTAGAAAAATAAACAACTTTGACAAAAAGCGAGGCACGATAATCTGAAGAGAAATGACACTAAGAGGATTAATTTAGAGGAGCATGGACCAAAATGCTTATTGTTGTCTCCAAGTCCAGGTCTCACACCTATTCTCTTCAAGCATTTACTTCTTCCTCACTCTTCCACTCATTCCTCAGTCCCATAGTCCCCCTGATGTCACCAATCCAACAGAAGGGAAACCATCAAGTTGCTCACTCCCCTACACCACCTATGCCCCCTGGGTCAGATACTGCCCCAAGGGCAGCAACAGAGGAGACAGCAGTGGCCATCAGCTATCACAGTTTGATGCACAAGAGGCCTGTGCAATCAGTGCATCCACTCTGCTTGTTTACCTAGAATTCTAGGTATAAATCTTGGATGTAGATACACTGCATGGCCAGACATACATAGGTATAGATTAGATATAGATATATGATGACTAAATTACACTCAGCTATATAATGAATATAAGATCTAAGATGACACATATCCATGGTATAGGTTCAGTGATTATGTTTTTAACTTTGATGCAAGTTACCATCTTACCTCATTTCCATTTACAGCTCTAATGGGAAATCAGTTTCCTGGGCCCAGAACGAGAAAAGCAGCAGAGGGGCGCACCTTTGGCAGCGGTTGTCAATCCACATCAACAAAAAAGAAAACCCCAATCAAACTGCAGTGATCAAGCCTTTTTCTAAAAGCACAGATAGTAGCCGACATAGTAGCAGCGCTACATTTCCTGAGACCAGTGCCAAAACGCTTTACGACGTTTCAGAAGCAGAAGAGCAATACCCAGCTCAGTACCGACCGCAGACTCCCTCGCCTATCAGCACCGTGAGCCACAGAACTGCCTCCGTTAGCCGAACAGAAGATGATGCCCCTACCTTCCAGTCCGAGCCTCCGCAGCGAAGTAGCTCCTCGCAAGGCTCCCTCATGGAGCAGATCAGTAGCGTGGTTACTCGTTTTACAGCCAACATCAGCGAGCTGAACTCTATGATGCTTTCAACAGCCACTCCAGGGACAATGGTGGCCACTCCTCTCTGCTCTTCATACCTGATCCCACGAGAAATCCAGCTCCCCACAACAATGACCACGTTTGCAGAAATCCAGCCACTTCCTTCCATTGAAGTCAATGGCGCTTCCCAGTCAGCTAGGAAACAATCAAATGGCAGCGTCAAAGAAGGCACTGCAGAGACCCCATCAGCAAAGCAAGACCTTGAGGAGCTGGTAGCTTTAACTCCTCCTTCTCCTTTTAGAGACTCCATCGATTCTGGAAGTGCATCTCCCAGCTCTCCGGTTTCCGAATCAGCTCTCTGTATCCCATCTTCCCCAAAGTATGACACACTCCTCATCAGAGATTACACTCAAAGTTCTTCTTCGCTGTGAATGTAGTTCAAGACAACTTTGGATCTCGACGACTACAAGCAAGTAGTGGGGGGACAGCCAAGACTTCAAGATCTCCAGTGTTTACGCAGATAGAGTGAGGGGCATTGGGTCATCTTGTGAGAAACAGGAAGAAGTGGAGTTGCTTGATCAGTGGAAACATCAGATTAATGATGATGTTCTAAAATGACTCTTGGCAGATTATCGTGGCCTTAAAAAAAACATGGGCTTTTCAAAAACACTGAATCTATTTTTGAGGGCTTATAAGGAGTCTGTTAAATCAGTTACATACCAAGTGCTTTGCTTTAGTATTACAACGAACTGTGTGTACAATATGTGAATGGGGGGGGAACAAGATTGTAAACAACTGTACAGTGGTTTGTTTGTTTACTCTGATTCCTTACCCAGAAGTGAACCTTGATCTTTTATCAAGAATAGAAGACCAAACGTTGAATGTACATTTTCTAAGAGACTCAAATCTAGGACCAACCTATCAAGTTTTCTTTTTTTTTTCTATGAAGATCTCAAAAAGCAGCAATCTATGTTCAATAACTATCAAACTTTTTGCTGAAGCGTATTGTGTCTGTGATACGTTACACATGGATAACACTAAGCTGAGGCTTTGCAGTGAGTGACTGCGATACGGAGGGCTTTACAAGTGACTTCTCAACCTACACATTTGTTTATGAAATTCTCTTCTACCAGTATATAAAAAAAATCAATTTGTTAACATTGGATTCACCTTCACAGCAACAAAACCCGAGGAAGATTTCCTGACTATTTCACCATGATGCCAACTAATAATGAAGTAGCAAAAAAATATTTTCTGGAGTACTGTTTTGTAATTCCCTTATCAGGGCAAGTTGTTGAGGTGAATATTCTCTTTCTAGCAGCACTACCAAGCTATATCATAGCTGCATTCCCTACTGAAATTAACACATTTTTATGGGTGTTCTTATGCTAACATTGCCAGTTATAACACTTATTCGGGCTCCCTTAGTCTTTGCTCGCAAAGAACAGGTAAACACTGTAAGGATTTTCTCCATGTTTTTGAATGACAGTATTCTAAGTGATCAATCTGTATTATGATGAATGCTAACTGTCAATGGAAAGGTTGTCATAATCATAATTTATATGTAGAGAAAAAAACTGTGTAAAAATCTGCTTAGAGGTGGTTTAGCTACTCTTTAATAAGCAACAATTTTAACTTTATTTAGCTGCCGATGCCTTGCAGCTATGAACTGTGACAAAGAAAAAAAAAAAGACTTTCAAAGCAATACAGAGTAAAGGTTAAAGCAGAGAAGGCCTAATGAGATATGAGCGAACAGTCTTTGTTTCTTAGCAACTCACAGAAGAGCAAGGGGATTACTGGTATTTTTTCCTATATCAAGGTAATACAGTTTAGTGCACTTCATACTGTCATGGCACTTTTGAATAAAGGCAAGGAAGGGATTTACAGTTTGAATAGAAGTTAAATAATTTTTTAATAGGTGTAGTTACGTAAAGCACGTAAGTCAGGCCCTAAACGCACACTGTGTTGGCTCTCTCTCCTTTGTGACGGCTGTCCTTGGGTGCCAAACTTTTATTGGTTTGTTTTATTTTATTTAAGGATAGTATGAAGTGACGAGTGTTGTACTTCAGTTCAAAGTTGAGTTGATACAGCCTTATAAGAAGACAGCTTAATAGAAAAGAGTCTTGAAAACAGGCTTCTGTGCTTGATTTTCAAAAAGCTTAGATTTTATTTCTTCAAAAATAATTAATATTTTGTAATAAAAATCCATACCCCTTTTCTCTCCTCCATGCCCCAAATAACAAACATTTGATTTTAGAAAAGAAAGCATACTGCGTGATTCACGTACTTTAGCAAAGAGCATTTTTTGTTCCCTTTATTAATTTCACCACTATGCTGCACTGCAATTTGCTTTTAAACAGCATTAAAAAAAGAGTGTAGATGAGCAAAACCAGGCTCACAACTCGCAGAGATGCCCTAAGAACCCTGTACACCCTTGTGCAAGTTGGTGTTATCCAATATCAAGTGTATGGGCATGTTTATTTTACCAGTTACAGTCACTTACTAGCTATGCCTGTAGCACGATCAGGCAGGTCACAACTCAGCTCTATTCCAGGAGATACACCAAGCTATGACTGTAGGTCCTTCTTTCTTACATATAGTTCTTGCCTACTCTCAAAACTGGTTAGCACAGACTCAGTTCTATGAAGCAGTAAGGTTTCCAGACAGGAGCTTGCTGTTACCTTCCTGGTTCATAGTACTAGCATGTCTCATCCTTTACTAGATGCACATGTCTTTAGGAGAAAGCATCTTCTTTCACAGGTTACAACCCACATTTCAGGAAAGGGCATGTCCAATCAGCCTATGGCACAAGTATTCTTACTCAGCGAGTTTAGACCACTTAAATATTGTTCTTGGAAGATTTATATAATAATGTATGTTTCCCATTGGTGCAATATTGTTTTGATATGTGTGGAGTGTGATGAGACAAATGTGAATGTCAAAGGGATTCTATTACTATACATTCTCTTATACTTTAAGCTATTGACCAACATCATTATTAGATCCTCCTCTAACATGAACTTTCCTCGGCATTACAGGTACTCATTTCTGTACTCTTATGTTGGTTGATGCATATTAATGTATATCTGCTAAAATCTGTGAGCTTCATTGCACTGTGAAATAATGAACAGTAGAAATATCTTAAAATGAGTAGAAAGGAATGAGAAATAGAAACTGTCAAAGCATGACTCAGCATAAACATACCTCATCTACTCCCAAATTGCAGTTCTGCACAATGCTGACCACAGCTATTGCTCAGATTCTTGAAGACTTTTGTCTATATTGCCAAGATGATATATTCATGCACTTGTGCGTGCAAACACACACATACACAAAACACTTAATTTAACATTGGTGTTTGGAGGCTAAAACTACAGCGTTAAACTATCCAACACTTGCTTATTTTCACTTTGGAAGGAGTCATGCATCCTCTGTGTGCATCATCCAGAACAAAACTTTTAATGGCAAAAAGAACCCAGGACAAGACCTGCTGCAATAGTACCTCTCAGTTATCAGCCTATCTTCAGCAGAAGTTAGGTTAGCATTAGCAAGATATAAAGAAGGCAGAACACATTTTAATTGTACAGGCTGGAATGTGACAACGTTACCTTACAAGGTTTTTGGGTGACAGAGAGAGCTCTTCTGTAATGACCGTAGTTGTAATAAGCTTCATGGGGGATTTGCCAAACTGGAAAGTCCTGTAAAAGAAACCAGAGGGCTTGATACGAGAAAGAAGAATGTTATGGGATATTATAATTTCATTAAGCTGTTTATATGCTACTCTCCTTTACAGACATTAAGATATAACTGCAGTTTTTCAGCCATAAGAGTAAAGGTTACCATTGCAAACACTTTCCAGTACCAAATGTCTTGAAATTGTATATAATGGTTTAGTTCTGCCAGAAAGGATATCAAGAGGTTGCATCCATTGTCATTCTTGACCACAAGGATCTCAGGAGATCTTGTTTCTTTTGTGCTTGAGGCTAACCCTGAAGATTAAAGGTGTAAGCATCTTTGGAAGCTACGCTTTCAAAATAAAGTGAATCACTCTGGCAGGCTCATTGTGAAGAAGTGCTAGCAATACTGTAAAAGAACAATATTTTTCAATTAGCTCTGAAGAATGATTGCATTAATTTGGATATGTGCTTCCTTGTACTTCTCTCTGAACATTTGGTGCCTAAATCAATACAAATACTTCAGACTAGAGATTCTTACATCATGGTCTACAAAGCACTTGTTGATGTTTCATGGGAGTCTGGTTGGTCACAAAATGCTGTTTTCTTTTGATTCTCAGCTACGAAACTAAATTAAAAGTTAACTGATAATTAAAAAATATATGTTAAAACTTTTAAAAGAAAAAATAAATAGCTTGTTTGAATTTTATTCAGTTTCTGCATTTGGAAAAGGAAAAATTTGTGATTAAAAAAAAAAAAAAGTGGGAGAATCTCCAGAAAGACTAAATAGAAAGGACAGTCCACGATTGAGATTCTGGATGGCAGTGGAGTTCACTTGGAAATGTATTATTTAGAGAGCCAAAAAAACAGAAAAAAGCCAGAAAAACAGCATAATTGTGAGTGTAAATTCTGTAGAAGAAAGTGTGCAGCTTTGCTGCTCTATTTAATAAATCATTCCTGAGTTGAGATAAGAAAAACATGAAAGGGATAGACAGAAAATGTTGGGTTCAAAGTCAGAGCTGACCCAGAACAGAACTTTGGTGTCTAAAGTCAGGATTTCCGAAGAATTTAACACCTCCTTTCAAAAGGAACTCAGTTCACTCAGGCAACCAACACTGTGTCTCTGCAGATGATCAGAGTTGCCCTCATCTTGACACATCAAAATATCTTAGCGTATAACTCAACTGGAAATCCAGAAAACAGTGGTTCCTAAATTTGAATCCCTGTATATGCCATAAGTATACAGAACTTACAGCATGTATGTCAAGAGGATCACACTCTCTATAGAGGAGATCAACAATATTTTGTTTTGAGGCTGTCAGTGCTGTTACACTGCTGTTTTTACAGTAGCCTTGAGGTTAGAGCACTTGAGCAGAAGGTCCAAACTTCAGACCGTTCCACTGCCAGGTGGGATTGAAATCTTCCTACTAGCAGGAAAGTGCTGTAATGACTGTGTACTGGGGCACCTTCATCTCACTATGGTAACTTCAGGTTCAAGAATAACATTCAGGACTCCCAAGGTGCAAAAGGAAGCGTTACTCTTCACCTGTATGGGATATTTGATATAGTTGAGATGACCATTTAAAATTAAATAGTTTTAATATCCTGTAAGCAGGAATTGGGTGACTATTTCAGCTACAAAGAAGTGGAGCCAACATTTCTTCTGAGCTATATATTGGCTCAAAAAATCCTTAAATACTTCACTGGAAAGTGCTTTAGTGATAGGAAGGGAGGATATGCCCTTCCTTACCTCTGCG